TGTTTTATGAAAGGAGTAAAAAAAAAAAAAGGACTTTAAAAGTCAGCATTTTCCACCAGGCAAGAGAATCAGCCGACATGCTCACACGCACGCACGCACGCACGCACGCACGCACGCACGCACGCACGCAAACTTGTACTCAAATACTGAGTCCCCCAGCCTCCTATTATAAGGCTGAGTGGAGAGGAGGAATGGCTGCATGTGTGCCTGCTTCCAGTTGCATGTGTTAGCGCGTTCAGTTGGTGGTTGAAGTTTATCTGTCTCTGTGGTTCTTTATATTTGGCTCCAAAAAGTCGGAGTTTCCAAACATCACATGCAGCGAACGCTATCTCATCCAGTACAAAATTAGCTCAGAAATAGTGCTCAAGTTAAAGTGACTTCCATTATAAAACACTAATTTATGTCTGTCCTTTTCTTATTTCAGCTGCATAACTTTATTGGCTTTGTGTTGATTGGATCTGGTAAATCAAAAGCTCTGATTCTACTTTTATAACCCCCCAGTGTTTTGCCCCCCCTCCTGAAAAATGATGTTACAGGGAAAAGACTAGCTTGCAGAAATCAGCACACAAGAATCAAATGAATGGCTCATTAACAGGCCAGGTATTTCAATCATTAGATTCAAGTGCATTGGATTAGCAATCCATTTAAAGTTGCACTCCAGTGGCTCGTTAACACGGGTTGGAGACCTGTGATGTAGAACATGGAGGACAGAGGCAATTCAGGATTAACGTTGGACACTTCAGCCCAAAGTGATTCATTTTGAATTAAAAATATAAAAAAATTGCTCAGCGTCACCGTGACACTTGAAAATGGGAGGTCAGACATTTGTTTTTGTGTCATACAAATAGGACTTGGCATTTAAAGTTTACATTCTTAACATTTACATAATCATGCCAAGTCATTGACAGGCTTTGATGTCCGCTCCACTCCATGCTGGTTTGGCTCTTGAATCATCTAAAACTCCTTCTTTTTTTGTTTGTTTATTTTGGTTCTTGGTAAACCAAAAATGTGTGTGTGTTCACACTCGTAACGCCCTTCTCCCCACCCTCCAATGGAAATCGTTTTCTTCTCTTACTGCCTCCTCCTTTTTCCTCCTCTCTTCCCTGATAATGACACTGTGTTTGTGTAAAAGCTTTTCGCCAAAGAATTTCTCTCCTGGTTAGTTAAGCCTTGGATGCCAATGGTGGATGTAGTCATCAGGCTTTTAAGGAAATTAGGATCAAATGCTTCTGGTGGTAGTTTGTGATACCCATAGCGGTAGTTTGTGAATTAGGACAGTTCCCCAGGCAGCATTAGAAAAGGGCGGGGGGAAGCAAGCTCAAGACAAAACTATAACTTATCTCTCAGTTGCATTTTCTATTGCTTTTATACCTGTGCTGCCAATTGGGAGTTGTTGCCTTTTACTTGCAGCTGCTGGAAAGAAAGACGATTTTACATGCTTTCTGCCGAAGTGCAATGCATTTTATCCTGCCCCAGAATTGAACATTTTCCTCTTTTTTGATTGTTTAGGGGCATTAGAAGGAGTGGCATTTGCTATTCATGGAAGAATATGAACATCTGCCTACAGGCAAAGGAAATGAGATAAATTATTAAGTGAATACAAATGTAGAGCTTTGCAGCCTTTTATTCATGAATTGTACCCATATGAAAACACACACATATAAAACAGCCCATCACTCATTGCCAATGCTTTTGATTCCCCCCCCGCCCCAACTCAAAGTGGGAGGTCCTATTCCACGCCACATCCCACAGCCACATGCACGACTGGCACAAAAACGGCGGCTGGCTTCCTGTTGGTGGAGAGAGGTTGTTTTTTATTGTAGCTCCATTTTGGCAGACGAGACTAATTCCACTACTGTCTGGCTCTGTGTTTTTGAGTGTGTGTCTGAGTTTCACACATGTGCCTTTAATTTTGTTTGGGTCTCTGCCTCCACAGCTTCAAAGTGTTATTGGGAGGCTATCTCTGAAGTCAGATTGCGTAAACTTGTCCGGCATAATTGCTACATTGATAGAGTTTGATGTGTGACACAGTACACAGAAGACAGACAGCAGTTGTGATCGTTATATTTATGATGTTCTTAATCTACAGCCATGTAATGTTTTTAACCCACCTATAAGCTTAAAGCAATGCTGTAAAATTGACCAAAGTCAGTGAATGTACTGACTTGTGTCCAGTGAGGATGCTCACTGGACAGGAAACACTGGATGAAATGTTATTCCCAATAGATATGAACATAAACAGCTCTTCTGCAGAGCTCAGCCCCTTTCAGTAGCTTCATTTATAAGGTCACTTGCCTGGTCGCTTGTTGTACAGCGTAGATGACAGATCTCTCATTTGGTTACATAATCACTTCATGACCAGTGTATGCAGTGAATCTCAGCATTGTTCAGACCATAATCAGATTTAGTTAATACTTTACTCAGTAATCTGTGGAAAAGATGATCTAATTAGCATTACAGCAATCAAAGCCTTCCTAGGATCGCTGACCAGCTTTTTGCCTCGCAACATTGCTTTATTCTGTTTGCCATATAGCTGGAGACGGCTCCTGTCACTCTGACTCTTTCTGTGACGTCTTAATTATAGGAACAGCACTGCTTGAGTTTTGAAACCAAAACTTTTTAAATCCTTGGTACAACTTGGCCTGTGTCAATGCTCAACATTGGACTTCTAAAAGGTGTTCAGATCAGTATCACTTGAAAGCTAGAGATAGATAGATAGCTTTCAAGTAGGGATGCACTGATCAATTGGCCACGATTTTCTTAATTTTGGGAGATTGGCCGATATTTATATGTGAAGATGATATTATCCACTGATCTTATCCACCTCGGCAAAGGTGTAAAAATCAACCACTGTCCTCTTTTGCTCTGCCGTCAGAGAGGGTTGACTGACAGATCCATCCACCAGGTCATGTGCAGCTAATAATAGTAAGACCTCTGTTGGCAACTCAGCGATTTTCTTGCTATAAGTAGCAACATTTCAGACCAAAAAACTGCAGGTGCTTACATGTTCAGTACAAGCATGTGAAGCTCTTCTTGCTCCAAAGATGTCTTGCAAATAATTTATTTCCTGACTCCACTGTTTTCTTCAAGGGAACTTCTTCTTTTAAAATTGTTTCTGAATTGATTGGCGTAACTTGGCCCTAAAACAGAATGAGGTCATCTGTGTGTCGCTACTGCATGAAATAAGCTGCTGTGATGAAAGTTGAGAGCCCGGCGTGAATAAAGGAAGAGCCAAGAGGCCTGTTCAATTAATGTCTGTTTAAAGAGACTCTTTGTCCCTTGTAATTCACATTGTTTCATTTCAGATTGATCATCGTGTTTAAAAACAAATTTGATTTTCAGTTAATAACTTCAGATTTAGATGTTATAAAACATAATAGGATAGCAGACATGGATAAAGACTGAACGTTTGACTTGGATTGAGTTTTTATTCCTATCACAGAAATAGGAATCCACCTGATATGATCACTTCATATAATCAAACAATAACATTTTAGAAGTGTGGTCAGTCAAATAACCACACGCTTTCTGCCAACTGTCTGCTTTTCTCATGTGCTGGCTTTAAACTAATACACCTTGAGCCATTCCATGATTTATTACACAACAACCACAAAATTTGATGTATTTCATCAAGTTTTTAGTGTAATAGAATAACACAGATTGGTTGATAAATGGAGAATAAATTATATACAAAATTTTCAAAGTTTCTGACAAATAAGATCAAAACATTCTGTATTTGCTCTTTTACCCCAAATAAAATTCAGTCCAACTAGTCTCCTCAAACATCTCACTGACCACTGTTCGAGTCATCATCTGAAAATGGAAAGACATAGCGGTCAAAATAAACTGGCAAGCTCATTCATCAGAGAAGCACCCAGGAGGCTAATGGTAACTCTAGCTCCTTTGGGCGAATCTGGACAACTATTAGTTTCGCATTCCACAAATCTAACCTTTTATTTGAAAATGGCATGAAGAAAGCCACTGCTGAAAGAAAGCTATAAGGATCCCTATTTAAAGTTTACCACATCAATGTAGGGGACACAGAAAATACATTATGTAACTTTTATGTTACGTGTGGAGGGTTCACAAACATATTAAGTTTAATGGTTGCCCTGTGACAAGTTCTATTAATGCTACAGTACTATAATATAGTGTAAGAATATAATAAAATAGTTTAAGCTTCAGGACAGCTATAGCTTCTTGCATGGATTAAAAGGAAATAAAAGCAGAGAATTCATATCTAAATGACTGATGACATATGGGTTATGCTGATTTCTGTAGCCAAATACTGCGGTCTTTTACTTTTGTTGTAATGACACAGAGACCCTGGGGACTCTTCAAGCAACAAACGGAAGAATAATCTGTGATCTGAAACAACTCGTTGTCTGCACTTCATATACAATTTGTAGATTCAATTTGACTGAGCTTAAGAGTTGTTCTGTGTATACATTTCATACCGTTGTCCTCCGTAGTACAGAATTGTATATCTGGAGTTTTTGCTTCTGTCAACAATTCATTGTCTGAATTAAGGCCTTGAAATAAACACTCCCACTCATTGCAGATGTATATACTAACAAGCTCAGCATCTCAGACACAGGCTCAGAGGCAGACACAACACAAACATTTCTCTGTAATTTCAAGGGGAGACTTTGAGACGACAATTATTTTCTTTTTTTTCTTTTTGTTTTATTACCACTGCGCTTTTCTCAGATGTTTGCAAAAGCTGAATGTTGGGAATTGGCTCCAGATGTGTTGAAAGCTATGCACATTAATGCTGCTTTCTTCACCTCTCATTTAGTTTAAAGTTAGCACACATAAAAAGACATAATGGTTGAATTTATTCTTATGTTTTGTCTGTGAGAAAAATCTAAATTCCTTTCAGGAGTCTCTCATGAATTTTTTTGCGAGAGTGGCCTACAGTGAGAATCTATATTTCACAGTTATAGTTCATATAACTACAGAAATGAATCTTTACAGGCTTTTTTTTCCACCTCTGACAGATTTTGATCCAGTCTTCACCCTCATCCTGCAGCCCAGCCTGTGTGCCCTAAAGCACAAGCATTCAGAAGTTGTCCTACCCGAAGCATCGACATACATCGTACAGTTTCCAGCCAGTGAAGAACCAACCAGCTCCTGAAACAACCCACAGGCCTTCCAGCTGGAAACCAAAGAGAGACGGACACTACAGTGCACTAGAGAGTCAGGCTAACAGGGGAGTCATGTTGATCATCTTAGCCTTCATCATCCTCTTCCACCTGACTTCAGCCATCTTGCTGTTTGTTGCTACAATTCACAATGTAAGCACAGAACAATGATCTATCTATGTCTTCCACACGCAGCGTTTCAAGATGTGCTTTTTAATCTTGTCAACCTATCCCTCCCTGATAAAGGCATGGTGGGTGGTGTCACCTCCCGGTCGTGAAGTAATCTATTCCGACTTGTGGTACACCTGTAACAGCACCTGCTACATTGTGGAGAACAGTCACTCTACCGAAGCTGGTAATATGAAATACCAACTCTGTGTTCCTGACACATGTTTGAGCTCATTTAAAGCTCATTGTCACTTTTTTTCTCCCCCCCTCAGTTTATCTACAGGCAGTTCAGGCTACGATCATCCTGGCAACCATTTTGTGCTGCGTCAGCTTCTTTGTCTTCATGCTTCAGCTGTTCAGCATCCAACAGGGAGAGAGATTCATTTTCACAGCTGCTATCCAGTTGCTTGCCTGTACGTAAAACACACGTGCTATCACTTTGCCAACGTGATGTTGTCGACTGCAAACTGCTACCACGGTTGGGTGCTGCTACCAAATAAGGCCAGAGGTGGAACAAAATCCACTTCTTGCCACTAAATGAAATCTAGTACAGTCAGTGAATATTGATGTTAAATTTATAGAATAGAATCCACTTGTGTGAAATGTATAGTTTGTGAATACCTTAACAATGCCCATGCAGTTATGCAAAAATGTTAAGATGTACAGAATAATTTTGGAAAAAACAGGGACATTTGCTGTTAACCTTAAATAAAAAAGTAACATGATGTGTTCTTAGTTACTTTAAAAAAAACAATCTGGGTACCATTTGACACTTCAAAACTACATACTTGATTTACTTGAACATTCACTGAAGTCCCTGCTAGCTGACTTGCAACTTTTTACTGTTTGTCTCTTCCTTCCAGCTCTATGTGTGATGATCTCTGCGTCCATCTACACAGCCGAGAGCAAGAACTTCCATGCAGACAGTCTCAAAGATGGCTCCTACGGTTCCTCTTACATCGTGGCATGGGTTAGCTTTCCCATGACTCTCATCAGCGGCTTCATGTACCTGGTGCTCAGGAAACGTAAATAGGTGTGACAGGGCAAGCAACAACATAGATAGGATTTTTGGATGTTCATGCATAACAACAAAGGGGCATTTTCACATTTTCTCTCCATCAGGTTTTTAGTATTTACATCTGGAACTTAAATCTCTTTTGCTAACACATTGTCTTCTTAATTTTTAATATTTTTGCCAACCAATTCCATCAATTTTCACAAGAAAAGTGTAAAAATTCCTTTGACTGTGACGAAAGGGTTTACCAAAGGGCCCGTATTTTCAGTAAACTGCAACATTTTTGTGTACATATTTGAAGTGTATGTTTAATTCAGGTTATGTTTTAGCAGTAGAAATAAATAAGATATATTACTCAAAGCATAAAAGAAGTGTAGTGAAGTCATAGCGAAAGTGTCACATTGTAGGATTTTGACGCTTGTATTCTTTTTATGCTAATTTGTGATTTCTTAAAGAAAGAGGAAGCAGTGATGTAGTGTGTTATTTGGGATTAAAATTGAACAAAACAGACAAACTTGAAATATGAATGAAGATTTTCTTTGTTACTGACTTTTGTCATAGCTTCTCTGAGAAGCTATTTATTGTTTTAAACCACTGCTTATCTTGTATTTTTAAAATACTGAAGATTGAAGAAACGTTTGTCGGTTCTTATCCTCTGGTCAAGCTATTTCCCTTTCAGAACAATATATTTCATTTATGCATATTAACCGATATGTGTATCAATCTTGGGCTTGATGTTTATGTTTGAACATTTAAAGAAAGCAATATGAAATTAATTGTGCTAATTTGTAATAGAGTTTAGACCACATAATCTAGGAAAGACTAAAATAAAGAAGCCTGGGAGAATGGACATGAAAATGATTATGCTCTGCTGTCTCTAGCTGATACTTGAAAATGGATGGAACATTATGTTGTAGAGCAAGAATGTGAATTCATTTTGTTTCATTTCTACAGGTTTGTTAAAATTACAGCAAATCTCAACACTGAACAAAATTTGTTGTTTGTTTCATAAACCTTAATCAGATGTCTTACTGGAACCAAATTTGACCTGGCTTTGTCATGAATTGTCTCTTATTAGAACCACCATAAAAATACACAATTTCTTTCACCAGAAAAAGCTTTTTTTGAAGTACTAACTTACGTTGCTTGAGCATTTCATATTGTTATATTTAACTTTTTAAGAGCTTATGTTAAACACAATTGTCAGTGTATAGAGTTTTCTTTTTTCTGTTTCCTGTGGATGTGTAGTGCTGCAGAGCACTGTTTGCTGTTTTTATTCTGGCTTGTTTTTCATGTGGTTGTTTTTGACCTCAGTTGCAACATCTCCATCATCTATTGGACATCATGTTGTGTTTTTATGTATCACATAAAACTGTACTGACACCCAGTGGACAGTTTGGGAACTGCAACATTGTTTTTAAGGATACAGATATTTGTCCTTTCATCTTTTGAATATAAATTTTAATAAATGTTAATATTAATTAATCTTAAGTATTGATATGCTTCTGTATTTTTTTCTTGTTCTCTGCTTTCTTGTCTACTACTACTACTACTACAACTACTAAAAAAATTTCAGAAAAGGGGAAAAAACACTGGTTCATATGTTTTTCAGATGTTTATGTCAGTAGCTTAGATTCAGGGAAGCCGTCTGAGCTTCTGGATTTTGTAGAATCATTCTCCAGATATCTGGAGAATGACACTTGATTACCAGTAATTTTTTGTATTTATTTTCCTTGTCATAAAGAAAATTATTCTTTCGTAGCCTTGCAAAATTGTATGTTTCTCTTTACTTAAAAATCTGAACACGTTTCGTTTAGCTGAACTGAGGATAAAGGGTCTTTTGGCATCTCATCGGTGCATACTCCAGTCCAGTAGGTGGCGTCCACACTGTGCGATTGATTTGCTAGCTGCTAGAAGAAGAAGAAAACCCGGAAAAAAATCAAAGAGACGACGATCTGAGGTGTTGAGGTATTGTTACTGTTAGTAAACTGTTTAACTATTAATTTTTTAAATACTTGTACTTAAGGTAGAAAGAGCAACTTTGAAGCTATCGTACTTTTCTAAAAACATCTTCCCCACCGTACCGGAAATGTACGAATACAAGGAAAAACACATCAGCCGTTGCCAGTTAAAACCGTTATTTTGTCCCATCATCATCTAACACGTACAAGCTTGAAGCATCATTATTTTACCCATATTAAGAGTCTGAAAGGTTTACATTGAAGTGAAACTACGCTATATTTCTAAGACCGCGTTGTTCTGGAACGTTCCTTCTCCAGCTTGCAAAAATGCTTCAGAAAATTGTGTGCCCGTGTGCTGCCTAACTAATATTGTCTGTCTTAATCTTAAAACCTACCTTTTTCGTTGATGCTGCTCCTTGATTCAAGGTTTAAAATATTTTAATGGCGAGTCATGTAGTCATCAGAACAACAACAAAACAAGAACTCAAAACGTCTGAGATATACATCAGTTTTATGATTATAAATGAATTTCAGTTTTTGAATTGAATCACACAGGGCTGCATAGCGGCACTGTTGCCTTTCAGCAAGACAGTCCTGGGTTCAAATCCCGGCCTGGGGGTCTTTCTGCATGGAGTTTCCATGTTCTCTCCGGAGATGTACTACTTTACTGAGACGCCCCTCCACGCTTTGTGCCTGATGTTATGAGCTTCTGTTTCCACAGTACACCAGAGACTTAACCCAGCATGTCATCCACACCAAATCAAAGTCCAGCTTTCACTTGCTCTAGCGAACCTGCTGGTCTGTCAGCTAAGCGTAAGAGAATGAAACATTTCTCCAAAAAGCAGTCGAACAACTTACGCCGAATAAACATTGGCGTGGCCTTTCAAAGATGGCGCGACCTCAAAGATTCGCATGGATTCAGGTCTGACGCACAGTTGGCCTTGCATCTTCTTCATGAGTAAGTTCCGTGTTTAAAGCTGTCTTAGCTGTAGCGCAAGACAGAACTGTCTTGTATACATGTGCATACATACCTTTCTGGCTTGCACTTTCACAGAGTTTGTCTCTTTTGCTTTCTTTATCTCTGTTGATGTCTGCACATCTCCATTTCTGGGCCATAAAGAGAGCTTTGACTGTACTGCTCTGCTTGCATGGAAAATGTACTCACATGCACAATGTGCGAGTACCCCCCCAAAAAAGTGGTATTGCTCCTTTATAAGAGCTTTTTCTCTCCTCTTACCAAAGTAATGGCTTCCTGGGAAATGTTAAACCTCTTCTCATAGAGGAGATGTTTGGGTCAGTCTTGGTCACGAGAGCTTTACTAGTGTATTTCTGAGTGGGGTGTAGCTTTGCTGCTGATGTGATGCTTTGTGTCTTAGGTTATTGTCAACAATTGTTGGCATGCTTACATTCACTCTTCTTATGACTAAAAGATGAATGAAAAGACACAATTTTCTTTATGTATCAGTAGAAGACACTTGAAAGAACATATGCTCAAAATATTTTATATATATTTGTTTATTAATGTATTTTACTGACTTCTTGTTCAGGTTTGTGACTGACATTT